ACAAACAAAAAGAGGGAAAAGACTGTGCAGTCACAGAATTTCTAAATGGTGAGGAAGTTAAGAAAGTTGAAAGATAGAATGGACTGTTCTAAACTCAGGGATAGATTTATAAATCATAGGGTAACCTCAAAGAAAAATTATAAACCTTCACATCACAATAAATTAATAATTCTGGTTTTGGCCAAATGAAAGCGTGGATGTGAATACAACCCATGTAGAAAATATGGATGCGTGTGAGCAAAGTCAAAACATGAAAAATAAAAAGAAGACTATGAAAATGTGAATTTTTTTTCAGAATTTCTCTCGTTTTTAGTAGAAAAGAGAATCAACAATAGTATTAATCAATAATAGGAATTGCCATTAACTGCCGTCAAATGAGTTCCGACTCATAGTGACCCTGTGTACAAGAGAATGAAGCACTGCCCAGTCCTGCGCCATCCTTATAATCATTACCATGCTCGAGCCCATTGTTGTAGCCACTGTGTCAGTCCATCTTGTTGAATGGCTATTTTATGTACCAGACGTTGACAACGTATACAAATCTAAAATAATAGTAAAATTAGGTTAAATATTTTTGTTAAAATGGAATGGTAAAAGAAATGTTCAGACATGGTCTGTAAAATGATTTCTAAAGAAGGAATTTGAAAAAAATGTTTTGGGCAGTGGTAGTAGCATGAGTAAAATAATATAAAGCAGTGGTTATAGAATGAGCTGAAGGCTCCTGTTAGAGTCCCTGAGGACATTTGCAATACCTTTGACCCACCGCATTTTCATTTTTCTAATCCCCCAGTTCCTGATGTGGTCTGTGAGATCGAGTAGCCTCAGACATATGTATTCTTTAAGAGATTTCCAAGTGATTCTGATTTGCTTTTACCTAAAAACCACTGGTCTAGAGCAATGTTTCTCAATTTCTTTTCATTATTGCTTCTTCCCCAGGAGCTGTTTTAGACTTTTTTTTGCTACTCATTTTGTTGTTGTTTCATGTCACCAAGTTAGTTCCAACTCCTAGCGACTTGTTAAGTACAACAGAACAAAAACGCTGCCCAGTCCTGCACATCCTCACAATGCTTGTTTATGTTGGAGCCTGTTGTTGCAGCCACTGTGTCAGTCCATCTCATTGAGCATCTTCCTCCTAGTTGCTAACCTTCTACTTGTCCAAGCATGATGTCCTTCTCCAGAGACTGGTCCCTCCTACGGCATGTCCAAAGTACATGAGACGAAATCTCACAAGTCTACTGATGTTTTTGTTGTCATTCAGTAGCATCAAGTTGATTTCATCTCACAATGGCCCTCTGTACATGCCGTCCTCACAGTCATTGGTACACTTGAGCCCGTTTGTTGCAGCCACTGTGTCAGTCCATCTTGCCAATGGTCTTCCTCTTTTTTGCTGATCCTCTGCTTGATGTCCTTCTCCAGAGACTAGTCCCTCCTGATAACATGTCCATAATACATGAGATAGTCTCACAGTCATGAAATCTTAGTATCACAGATATATGCTGTATGTCTGTCAGTATTGTTTTACCCAACAAGCAAAGTAAGCATGGGCTTACTTGTGCTTACTTACTACTCAGTAGTGAACAGTTACACATTTTTTTCAGCACATCAAAGATTCTACCTTTAGGTGTGACTGGCATCTGTCTCAACCCCACAGTACCTTCCTATACCCTCTTTTTGAGTTTATAGTCCCTGATAGGGATAGAGTACCCAATAAGCAAGGGAAACATGAGTTTACTTGTGCTTGCCTATTTACTAATCTGTAAGTAAGCAGTTGTTGACTACGGATTAGTAAGTAAACCTGTGCTTACCTTTCTTATTGGGTAATCCTCCCCTGATGTCTTTTTATGTAGTATGCTTGGGCTTTATACATAAAAGGAGTACATTTTTTTCACCCTCGGGAGATTATGTTTCTCCTGTTGAAAATACATGGTTTAGAATTTTCCAGTGGGGCTACTTGAAGAACATATTTGTACAGATATATATTGAAAACAACAACAACAAAAAAAACACCCCTGCAAACCTACTGCCATCAAGTTGATTCTGATTCATAAAGACCCTACAGGACACAGTACAGCTGCCCCATAGGAGCTTTATGGAAGCAGACTGCCACATCTTTCTCCTACAGAGTAGGGTGGGTACAAACTGTCGACATTTCTGTTTGCAGCTCAGTGCTTAAACCACTATGCTACCAGGGCTCCTTTAGTTATGTATTACCCTATTGTAAGTATATCAAATGATCATGTTTGTTGTAAATATCATTACTATGTATGTGTATATATATATATATATATATATATATATATATATATATATGTATATCACGCTTCATTCATCTTTCTTTTCATTTTTGGTTTATGTTATGTTTTTTTTATTTATTTAACAACAATCAGAAGTGTTTCTCATTCTTCTCCCTTCAGTACACTTGTGTTAATCTTATCTTCTCGGTTATTTTTCAAAATTTGCATTCCACCCCCAGCGGCCCTTAAAGCCTTAAAGCCCCATCTTTTCTGTTGTGATTCAGTTCTCTTTTGGGATGTGTTTAGGTAATTACTTCATCTCTTACAGTGACCTTGCTACAAAACCTGGTGTCATCTGTAAGCCTTTAGTGTGACCTAGAGCAACAGAGGCTTTTTTTTAGTCACCTCATTATTTTCTTTTATATCTTTGTTTCTACTGCAAATCTTTCTCTTGGTTTATGGTCTTCTTCCTAGATATGGGGACATGAGAAAGGAAATCGGCTTTAGAATCCGGGACATGTGGTATAACCTGGGTGAGTGTATAACCTTGAATAGGCCCAAGCACAACTCTTGTGTAGCAAATGCCTCACAACAAATTTGGTTTTATTTCAATTCAAATAACCCTGGGATTTATTTTTCTACAAGTCTGGGTGTAAAACTAAAGTACTTCTAAAATTAATTTGTGGGTTTCACACTCTCATCTCAGCTGGAACATTTATAATGGAACTGTTTCTTATTATGGTACCCACATGTTATCAGAATACAATATTTAGTCACTGATGTCTGAATTGAGCTGATTTATTCACATAAACTTTTTCTTTTCTTATGGGCTCTGTTGGAGGAAGATTGTAACACTGTATATACAGTGGAATTATTTTTTAATATCCTCATTTACTTTCGTTTCAGGTCCCCACAAAATCAAATTCATCCCATCCATGGTGGGTCCCATTCTGGAGGTCACTCTGACCCCTGAGGTAGAGCTCCGGAAAGCCACAATCCCCATTTTCTTTGATATGATGCAGTGTGAGTTCAATTTCAGTGGAAATGGCAACTTCCATATGGTAAGGAGTGGTAAACCCTATAATTATTCACATTCTTTCTAACGTGAAAGCAGTAGCTTGACTAATACAACTTAAGTAAAAGTATAATAATAAATATAAAAAAATAATCCAAGAACTTATCTTACATTTTGTTTTATAAAACAATTAGAAATATACTCAGATTTTCCAAACCAGGCCCTGGAAAGATTTTTTTTTTCCCCCTACATTTCTTTTCTAAAACAACAATGTGTTTCTGGATAATTGAAAGCTGACATCACATGCATTTTAATCCTATGTACTGCAATATAGCTGAGAAAATCATGCAGTGAACTGTGGAAAAATTCTATATGTGGAGTATGTTGTGTTGTTGTTATGTGCCTTCGAATCAGACCTGACTCATAGTGACCCCTCCTTGGGTTTCCGAGGCAATATCACTATGGAAGTAGATTGCCCAACCTTCCTTCCGAGGAGTGGCTGGTGGGTTTGAAGCGCCAGCCTTCTGGTTAGCAGTCAAGTGCCTTAGGCACTAGGGAATAATGCAAAGAGTTATTCTCCAGCCTTGAGAACCCAGTTTGCCTGCTATGTCTTCTCCATACCTCAGTTTCCTCATCTAAAAAGTGCAATACTATTGAAAGGAAGATTTTGTGCATATGAAGCTTAGCAAAAGCAATCGCATTAGACAAGAAAAAAAGTAAGATGGAAAATTAAAACGATCAAGATATTTTTATATGCATAGACTCAACAGAAAAAATACAGAAATAATATTTTGGATGATTTTTTTCTTTGGCATACGTAAAACAAAGGACAAAGTAACATAAAACTGCTTTACAGAAATTTTGTAGGTCCTTGGTGTACTATTAAGGAATGACATGAAATCTGATCTTCCCCTCTATTTGTTGGAAACAGTTTATAATTTAATAGAGGGTTTGGGTCAAATCTAGAAATAACGGTCCACTTTGAAGGATCTAATATTCTCCTTTGAAATTCTGACTGCTTTCAGTTTGAAAATGAATTGATTACAAAGCTGGACCAGGAGGTGGAAGGGGGCAGAGGAGATCAACAATACAAAGTTCTTTTGGAAAAACTGTGAGTATTTCAGAAACAAAATTTTCAAGGTGACTAACTGCATGATTGGTAATGGAGAAACATAGGGCCTCTGTTGCATTTACCAAGAAATTTAGTAGTCTTAGAATCACTGAAGTCCTTACCACAAATGGTCCTCAGTGAGCTTACTGGAGTTCACACCATCCACTGCTGACATTTGTTCGTCTGATGTGAGTCAAATGTCTGTGTTTTCTGAGCAAGCATGGCTCTAGAGAATAGAGCAGATGGAGGAGAGGGGAAAATGCATAAAGCAGTGGCATTTTGCCCAGTGCTTGGATTTCTGAACTAGAGCAAAAGTGCTAACATATCTAATTAAGGCTTTGAAACAACACTTTAAAGGAGAAGGAAAAGACGTTTCAAAAGACATTGTTCAAGGTCTATTTTACATTTTAAGAAGACCTTCTGCTCAAAAAGGGAGTATACCCATCACCATATATAGGTCCGGCAGAACTTTGGTTTTGTTTTTTTCTTTTTTTGGTGTGTGCTGTAAGAATGTCCATATAAATAGAACTAACGGGGCAAATTTATACTCCTTAGCCATAGCCAACCACCCTGCGGGAGTGAGTTGTTGGGCCTCTGGGCTTGGGACCATGGTCGTGGCGGACATCAAGTTTAATTGGCATAACATACTACACTAAAACATTGTTCTACACCCCACATTAGCAAATAGTGACTGGAGTCTTAAAAGCTTGCAAGCAGTCATCTACATGCAGCAATGGATCTCTCCTCATTGGAGCAAATATAAATGAAAAAAAACAAAGATGCATGGAAACAATTAGTCCAAAGGACTAGTGGACCATGCGAACCTCAGTATACATGACCCTGAGACTAGAACTAGATGGTGCCTGGCTACCACTGCCAAGCACTCAGCAAGGGATCAGTGCAGGAGATCCTGGGTAGAGTGGGAGAAAAATGTGGAACAAAACTCAAAATCATAAAAAAGATGAGGCTTACTGGTTAGATGAAGACTGGTGAAACCCCTGAGACTATGGCCCCTGGTCACTTTTCAGGCCTGGAGTTGAACTCACTCCAGTGGCTTCCAGCCAAACAATAAACAAGCATACAAGGTGAACATTTACACCAGGTAGGTACACTCCTTGGAACCATCAGCCTTGGGAGATTAGAAGGGCAGTATTTGCTCAGGGAGATAGCTCAGAGGGCAGGAATGCATAGGAAAGAAGGACACAAGGAAAAGAGTAACTGCAGGGAAGTGGGAAGAGAGCTGTTATAATGGGATTGCAATCAGTGTCATGAAACAAAATATATAAGAACTACTATATGGAAAATGAATTTGCTCTGTAAACTTTCACCCAAATCACAATGTTAAAATAGAAAAAAAAAAAAAAAGACCTTCTGCCCTATAAGAACAACCAGGTATATTTCCAGCAAGCTTAGTCTTCTCACTGCCTCACCCTCCAATTCTACATACTCATTCCTTCCTCTATGCGTGTCATATTATCACCATTAGTTTCTACCCTCCTCTTCCACAAACACTCACTAAACACCCTCTTGCCTTGTTAATTCACCTTTGCACATGTGGAGTAACAGTACAAACCAAACCAAAAACCAAACCTACCGCCATTGAGTCGATTCTGACTCATAGCAACCCCCATTAGCTTTCCGAGGCAGTAAATCTTTATGGAAGTAGATTGCCTCGTCTTCCTTCCATGGAGTGGCTGGTGGGTTTGAACTACCAAATGGTAGTTCTGGTTAGTAGTCAAATGCTTTAGGCACTGCATCACTAAAACAGTGTGGTTAAAAACACTTGGGAGTTAGAGAACTTTCAATTCTGTTTTCTCCAGGCACTAAGAGTTTGACTTTGGGCAAATGATTTAACCTCTCCAACACTCATTTTTAAAAACGTCTATAATAATAGTATCTGTATTTTGGTATTGTTGTGAGGATTAAATGAGATAATGTATTAATACACTGCCTGTTATAGACTCTGTCCTTAATAGATATTGCCTATAGTATGTATGGTTGTCCTTTACAAGTTTAGGATTGTGACTACTGTAGGCTATTGATTTCTTGTGTTCTCTGAACTTTTGTGGTATTCTCCAGCAATGTCACCTATTGGAGACTTGCCTAGACTCACTTTATTATTCACCTGTTTCATGTGTACTGGACTGCTTAAAGACAGGAACTCCCAACTTTTTTTTGAAGATGCCTGAATAACCAGCACACTGCATGCTCAGAAACTGAGTCAACTTGATGAGAAGTCTTTGTCTTAGAGAACCAGAAATCTTTCTTAATTTTCATGATAGAAAGTCCTTTTGTTGATCTTCTTATCCTATTTCCATTAGGGCTGCCTATTTGAACTCCAAAGTTGAGAAAATATATAGCTTTCACAATTATGATCTCATATAGGTATTAAATGGTGAAATTCTATACACATAAAAACACAATATTTAAAAGTGATAAACTTTTTTTAAAAAAAATCCTACAATTGTTTTTCCTTTTTGTCTTGAAGATCCTATTTTATTTTCTTCATTTTTCCTGGATCACTAACTCCAGAAAAATTTGAACAGAGAACTCTTCAATGCCCAAGAATAATCCTAGTGCTGGGACTAATTCCTTGGACTCATTTCTTTCTTTCTTTCTTTTTTTCCTCCAGGTTTTCTTCTAATTGTCTTAATATGAGAGCTTTGCTTTATATGGATACAAAGGGAAAGATTTAGACCAAAAGTTTAGCTTCAGTCCATTTATTTATAACTCCGCATTTTCATCTGAAAATAACGCTTTCATCTAAAGTGCAGAGACACATGTACTGATGTACACACTGTAGGTCCCTCTAGGTCAAGCATCAATGCCAAGCTTTAGGGAGAAGAAACATACACAAAAATATGATCTCTTACAACTTGACCAGATAGCATACACAAACCTTTTGAGCAAAGGTTTTCATTTCTGTGATATTGACTAAAAACACAAAAACAGAAGTTCAAAGAAGGACATTATAGGCTGGGAATATGGATGATGGTAGGACTTGAGCTAAGCCTTAAAGAAAATGCAGAATATGAGTAAACAGAGAGGAATAGTATAAGTACAGGTACCAGGATAGGACATGAAGGGTGTCTGTCAGTTTAGTAAAATCCTGTGGTATCTAGTTTGGTGCCACTTGCTGTTAGGAATTTAGTCAGTGCTCATCAGTGGTACTGGAATAGCAGCATGGAACTTGGGAACCTGTCTCTGTTTCCACCCCTCCAGGCTCCTAGAACATTGCAGGAAACATAAATACCTCTCTAGCTCTGGAGAAGTCTTTGCACTCCTAGTTAGCAGCCTCTTGGAGAATCTTCTGGACTACAGAACCATTGTCATGCATGATGAGAGCAAGGAAAACCGCATGAGCTGTACCGTCAATGTGCTGGTATGTGTCGGGCCCTGGGATGTTAACAGGATACCATCAGGCTACCCCAGAGCCCCGCAGCTCCGTGCTAGGCAGATCCACCAACACAAAGGTGCCCTGGGATCACCTTTATGGGTTCTGTGCCTGCTAAATCTCATTGGAACAGCTGACTTTGCTGTGGATTCACAGATACCAGCAGCCACAGACCTTTAGGTTAAATTAGGAAACATGAATGAAATGTAGCATAAGCTCTTGAATCAGCTGTCTTTCTGAAGGCCATTGTCAGCCTTGTTTCTCTATCTTGTTTATATGGTGGGTTGTTTTGTTGCTTAAATTACTAGACACAGATAAATTTGGGCCAGAAATACTATACTATAAGTAGAAGGTAGAGTCCCTGGATAAGCTGTTAGAGTGCTTAGCTATTAAACAAAAGATTGGAAGTCCCAGTCTATCCAGTAGTACCTCAGAAGAATGGCCTGATGATCTGGTCCCAGTAAATCAGCTATTTAAAACTCTGTGGAGCTTGGGGTTCCCAGGAGTCAGAGTTGACTCCATAGCAACTGTTTTGTTTTGGAAGGTTACTGGCTCACTGTGGTAGAACTCTCTGGTCTTGCCTTCACTAAATAATAATAATAATAAAACCATACTGCCATCAAGTTGCATCAAGTTGATTCCAACTCATAGTGACCCTACAGGGCAGAGTAGAACTGCCTCATAGGGTTTCCAAGGTTGTAGTTCTTTAAGGAAGCAGGCTACATTATTTTTCTGCCTTCCCTAGACATATGTTAAGTGGGACCACAGACCACAGACGTGTAAGTGACCATATATTTCTCTGCTTAATATAAACTAAGAAGCTACCATCTCCCTTAATCCTATGCTCTGAAAATGATATATCTGGAAATTTGAGCATGAACTGGGTATCTGTTTCTGTAGGGTGATTCCTCATATTTCTTAGAAACATAGTCTCAGAAATATTCATCAACTAATCTTTATTACCCATTGCTTTCTTTCCTTACAGGGATATTTATTAAAAAGAAATAATAAACTCGTTGAAAACATAGACCTGCTGAAAAACAAAGTAATAATTTAGCCATTGTTATGGCAATCCCATCAATAATCCTTGACTTACATTGGTATTTTGTGACTTACTCTTTTTCTTTTTTTTCTGGTAGAATTTTTACAAAGAAAAGAAGAGAGAGGACATATACATAAGGTAAACTGAAGGGAATTTTTGCTTTTTCTGTTTATGCTATGTCTGTATTATTTATTTCTCAATGAGGAATACTCAGCCCCAACAGCATGCTTGCTTCTTTGAGAGACACCAAGAAGTGTGTGATAAGCTTCCTTCCCCAAAAAAGGCTAAACCCTTTAGAAAGGAATAGGAGGAAGCACTGAAGTAATGTCATATAGGAGTTCAGGGTAATCATGATACACTGCCCAGGAAAGAGGCATTAAAATTAGCCTTCAGTTAAGATTATAGCCTGGGGTTATGAGTCATCTGAACATGAAACAAACATACATAAACTATATGCATTTTCTTGAGCAGAAATGCCATAGCTTTCAATGGCTTCCCAAACAGGTCCATTAGGTGAAACAATAATAATAAATTTAAACCCTACTTTAAAGAATGTGTAAAAAGTAGGAATAGATAGAGTAGGAAAGACCCAGACACGGGAAGCAAGACACCATACTAAAGAAATCGGAGTGTTTTTATACAGGAACCAATGGAGGAAAGGCTAGAGAGTAGTCTGGAGCCGGGTTGTACAGTGAGCTTAAAGCTTGATCAAGCTCTTCAGCACTGAAATGCCTCCTTTGTCTGCTTCATGCCAGGTATTTGTACAAGCTTCGGGATTTACATCGAGATTGTGAGAACTACACGGAAGCAGCTTACACACTTCTCTTACACGCTGAGCTTCTGCAGGTAAATGGATTAGGGGCATTGATTTCAATAGCATGGTAGCCAAAGTGCCATATAGTGTTCATTCCTTTGGAACTAAATCCTATACACATAATTTTGCCAGGAAAGATCCTTATTAGAAGGAGATCCTTTTATCCAAGAATATTTTTATACCTCCTAAGGAAGGTTGGGCAATCCTACTTCCGTAGTGATACTGCCTCGGAAACCCAAGGAGGGGTCGCTATGAGTCAGGGCTGACTCGACGGCACATAACAACAACAACAACAAGTAGACACTTGACTTCTAACCAGAAGGCTGGCGGTTCAAACCCACCATCCATTCCTCGGAAGGAAGGTTGGGCATTCCTACTTCCGTAGTGCTACTGCCTCAGAAACCCAAGGAGGGGTCGCTATGAGTCGGGGCCGACTCGATGGCAAACAACAACAACAACAACAAGTAGACACAACTGGTATAGTGCCTAAGGCATTTGACTGCTAACCAGAAGGCTGGTGGTTCAAACCCACCAGCCACTCCTCGGAAGGAAGGTTGGGCAATCTACCTCAGTAGTGATACTGCCTCGGAAACCCAAGGAGGGGTCCCGATGAGTTGGAACTGCCTGGATGGCCATGAGTTGTTTTTTAGAGTTTTCAGATGGAGGTTGGAAAAATGTCAGCTATCATGTATTTAAGAATCCTTCAAAAGCAGAGCACAAGTTACATGCCTCTGGTAATTTATACACTAATTGAAGAAATGAACCAACATAGATTAATATAAGAAAATTTGTAAAAATGCACAGAAATTCATTGTAAATTAATATAATACCATAGAAGTGCTTCCCTATTTATACTTTCTCCCTAAGTAAAATTATCTTGTCCTTTGGCTATAAATACTTTTATAGTATATGAATCCCAAATAATTATGTATAGTCCTGACCAGTCTTCAAACTTTAGATTCAGTGTAAGCTGCTTTTTTGGCATCAGTCCTTGAATGTCTATTAGGACACTCAAATGTAACATGTGAATAAGAGAAACCTGTATTTCCCACCTTTCTCCCTCTCCCCAACCCATGCTACATCCCCATTCTTTCTATTTCTACCCAGTTGCCCAGGCAAATACCTTAGAGTTATCTTTCATTCCTCCCTTTCATTTATCCCCTTCCATTCTCCATGAGCAGGAATCGTGTACCCACTTCCAAAACTTGTCCTTAATCTATCCATATATTTTTATCTCCATTGCTGCCATCCTGGTCCAGTCTACCATGGTCTCTTACCTGGATCACTGTAGTAACTTCCTATTAGTTCTACTGCATCCATTCTTGTCCTTGGCAATTAATTTATAATTAATATAAATATAATTTATAATTTTATAATAAAGTAGTATGCATAAATTGTCCTAAACCTAGCTCGATTTTTATTTAAAAACAGGAGTCTTCTGCCTCAACATTTTCCAAAAGCACTCACAATTCATATGCAAGATTGGGACACAGAAAGGTGTACTATATTTGGGAGAGAGATAGGACTTGTTGCCTTTCATTTCACTATAGGATGGTCTGAAAGAAACCCCAGTGCCAATAATTAGAGCTCTTTTCACTTGAGCTGCTCAGAGAATTAACTCTCCTATCCTGAGCCACTGAAGGAGCTCTGATGGTGTGGTGATTAGGGCATTTCACTGCTAAACAAAAGGTCAGTGGATTGAACTCCCAAGCTGCTCCACTGGAAGAAAGGGAGCAGTCTGCTTTGTAAAGATTTATAGCCTTAAAAACACAATGGGGGTCTGTATGAGTCAGAATCAACTCAATGGCAGTGAGTTTGGTTTTTGTTTTATCTTGACCCACCAGCCACTCTGCAGGAGAAAGATGAGACAGTCTGCTTCCATAAAGATTTACAGCCTTGGAAACCCTACGGGGCAATTCCACTCTGTCCTATGTGGTCGCTATAAGTCGGAAGTGACTCAGTGGCAGTGGGTTTGGTGTTTTTTTGTTTGTTTTTTTTTCCTGTTGATGGGCACGTAGGTTGTTTCCATCTTTTTGCTATTTTAAATAGTGCTGTGATGAACGTGAGTGTGCATGTATCTGTTCCTATCCTGGCTCTCACCTCTCTAGGATATATACCTAGTAATGGGATTGCTGGGTCAAATGGTATCTCCAATTCCAACTCTCTAAGAAATCGCCATATTGCTTTCCACAGTGATTGTGTCACTTCACAGTCACACAAGCAGTGTATGAG